TAGAGAAGTGTTTTTTTTTAAAAGGAATCTCTAGATCAGTGATGGTGAACCTTTTATAGACCAAGTGCCCCAAATGCAACCCAAAGCCTACTTATATATTGCAAAGTGCCATGTCCCTCTGGCTTTCTAGCAACATACTCTGGTGAACTCTGTGCTGGGGTGACGGCACGTATGCCCACAGAGAGGGCTCTGAGTGCCACCTCTGGCATGTATGCCATAGGTTCACCACCACTGCTCTAGGTCCTCCAGTGTGACTTCATGGTCAACTTCTGGCAGGGTTGCACTGGAGGACCTAGAGATTCCTAGGACGTTATCACACGGGGGCAAATCTGCTGGTTAATCCACACAAATCCCAAACAGAAACTGGATTAGTGCCCCGTGTTTTCACACGATGTCGCACAGAAACTGGACAGAAAGTGGACAGAAACTGGTGTTAACCGAGATCTTTTGAAATTCGGTTGTTTGGAGGAAATGCAAATGCGCAATTAAGGTAAATTCGCATTACCATAATGTGAAAAGCAAATGCGAATTTGGGAGCATTTCCCTGCTTTTCCCATGGTTCCAGCGAGCATTCCTCTATCTGCGCATGTGCAAGAAGCTCATTTCTAGTACATTTACAGGCTTTTCTAGCTTGTGTGTGAACGTTAAATGCGCTTACTTTAATTTCACAATTAAGGTAATTTCATTTGCAGAATAAAGGTTTATTTTCAGCTTATTTTCAGAATGCTTCATTTCCACTTTATTATCACTTTCTGGCCCACGTGTGATAACGTCGAATACATTAATATAATCCACAAATAATCTAATCTGCAAAAGTCAAAGTTGCAAATGTGGAGGGCCAACTGTACATCCTTTAGTGGAGATTGCAGGACTAGCAGTGACAGGGAGGGTGGGAAGTGAGAAAGAAAAGAGTACATTGTATACAAACACCTTGAATGAGTTCATGGTAGAGCATTTGGACAAACCAGTTCACTTGGCTACTGCTCATGCATATCCAGATAGAGCAGAGAAGGCATCCATCCTACTAGGGCTTTACAGACCACAAATACTCATGGAATATGGAATTAAATACTCTCTGTATCACTCAGCTTTCCCACGTACTCACAGTTCCTCTGAGAAGAGATCTGGATAGAGGAGCCAAGAATAGAGGAATCTGTTCTCCAGAGTGGGAGGCAGGTCAGCCACCTTGTTATAAGAATGACAACTGTGAGATGCCAAGCTAAGAACATTAAGCCGGGAGAGGAGAGAGCCAAAACAAACTTCAGCAACTGGAACGTGATCCTGCTGTGAGCATGAACTTTGCTCATTGCTGGCCCAGAGCACAGCCTTGTTGTTACACCAAAAGCACACCTTCCTGGTCCAGAATGGAACCTTCCAAATGATCACCATTGCAAGAACAGGAAAGAGAGAGCTAGAAAAGTTCCCAAGATGTGTTGTATCCCAGCCAGGGCAGTGACTGATGCTGAGCACACAGATACTGCTCAGATTGGACCCCAGGGATACGCCAGCATCCAAAGGATCTTGCCAGGCAAAGACTACGTCAATGTTAGCCAGTCCTATTTAACAGAAATTAGACAATGGAGCTGCACCTCATGCTGTGTCCTCCCTTAATAGAAATACTGCTTTCAGACAGGAAAGGAAAGGAAAGGAAAGGAAAGGAAAGGAAAGGAAAGGAAAGGCATGACACTGTGACCCTATGCATGTCTACTCAGAAGAATGAACTGGGAAAAGATGTTTATTTCCAGGACCTGCCCAACTCCTAGCTGTCATTTTGGTTGGAACAGGAACCATGCAGGGATCCTGCAATGCCTACAGAGCTCCCTGGAAAGAAGCCACGTGGCTGAAGACGAAAATCCCTTCACACCCCATGCCTTCCATGAAGATGGGAAATGGGGTTCCGGGTAAGTCCAGGACCCTTGTTCCTAGGTCTCTTTGGTTGATGGTGCACAAGGACTCCTTGGCCATTAGCCTGTGGACTCAAATAGTTATATAAAACTGCTGGAGCAGATCATCTGGAGCTTGAGGATTGGTAGTTGACACCTAACTTTCTCTCTCTTCAACTGATGCCAGTGAAGTTGTGCATATCCTCATCTGTGGCCTAGATGCAGTGAGGATCAGGATAAGGATGAACAAATTGGGGTTCAATCCACATGGGAGGGAAGTATTATTAGATAATAGACAGGATATGCAACAGGGGTGAGGGGAGGGTTCTTGAGTCCTGTGCTGGTTCTGGAAAGCTGGATGCTAATGGGGGAGTCCTTTGCCCAGCTTTGGCTATTCTGTGCCACTTTCCCATTTTAGGGAAGAGGGGCCAGTCAATTACCTTCAATTACCTCTCCCCTGGATTACTATGGTTTGCACCACAGGGAGCTGCTCTTCAGAGTGATTGGAAACTATGGTTGTCCTTGTTAATTGCTATAATGTTGACTTTTATTTATGGCAACCTCATGAAGGAGAGACCTCCAAGTCCCCCTGTCATCTACCACCCTGCCCAGGTCTTGCAGTCTTCCTCTTTTCCACCTGCCTTCTCTCTTTCCAAGCATTATTGTATTTTTTAGTGAGTCATGTCTTTTCATGATATGACCACACTACAACAGTCTCAGTTTAGTCATCTTGGCTTCTAGAAAGAGTTCACACTTGATTTGCTTTAGAACCCTTTATTTTATTTTATTTTTTACAGTCCAGATGATCCAAAACACTTCAAATGGGTTGATTCTATGATATATCTTTAAACCTCAGGATCTTCTCTAGTTCCTTCATAGCTGCCATTCCAAGTCCTAGTCTTCTATTGATGTTGCTGGTCACCAATTTCTTTAATGTGATCCATAGTTTTTCAAAGCAGCTTCATTTAAAGCAGCTTCATTTATATACCGCTTCATATCGCACATGGGATGTCTAAGCGGTTTACAACTGTGAGCTGATTGCCCCCCAACAAGCTGGGTACTCATTTTAGCGACCTCGGAAGGATGCAGGCCTGAGTCGAGCCTCAGCCCTGGCTGTTATTGAACTCGCAACCTTGTGGTCTATGAGTGAGTGGCTGCAGTACAGGCATTTAACCACTGCGCCACCAGGGTTTTTCATGATCTATACAATCAAGGGCTTTGCCGTAATCTATAAAGCTCATTTTCTTTTGAAATTATTTGGTGGTGCCATTATACAATGTATATTTGTAATATGACCCTAAGTGCCTCCGCCTTCCTGAACCCAGCTTGCTACATGGATGAAGTCTTTATTATAGAATTTTAAGCATCACTTTGCTTGCATGGGAACTTAATACAATGGTCCTTGGTTACTGCAATCCCTAGTGTCCCCTTTCTTAAGGTTAGAATGAATATGTATATTGAATGTATATTGAGTGTATCCAATCTGTGGATCATTGTTTTGTTTTCTAAATTTGTTGACAGATGTTAGTTAGAACTAGAGTAGATTCTGTCTCATTAGCTTAAAGCAGTTCTATTGGTATGTCATTTGCTCCTGGTGCCCAGTAGTTGTTTGGCACATTTAGTCTGGCTTCTCAGCAAAACTTGTCTGATATGGGAGATCCTACTAACAACAGTGCTACCAGAGGCATAGCCTCTTACCTCACAGGAGCAAAAACACCATGGAAAGATAGTGCCTTGGTGGGAGTGGCATCATAGCTGACTCTAGCCATTGATAACTCTAGCCACACCATAGCTAACTCTGTGTGATAGGCTGTCAAGCATTTCCCTATATAAAGTAAAGCTTAAAGATATTAATTGGAATGTGTTTTTATGTGTGTGTGAATTGCCTGTGAACTTAAGTGTGAACGAAGGCTGGTGCTTGAGTATGTCAAATAAAATAAATAATTTTGACTAACAACAACAACACTTGACTACAAGAGAGAAAGAAGAATAAGGATAGTACTGATCCTATTGATCCAGCTAGCTCTCTCATCCTTAAAGATTGGGCATCGAACACTACTATGGCTTCAGTCAAATGAGTTGCATCTTTCTTTGCCAATTCTTTAATGTGACCCAGGCCTTTATTTTTATAATAATAATAATAATAATAATAATAATAATAATAATTTATACCCCACCCCTCTGGTTTCTGGTCGACCTATCGGCGCAGCTTACAGCAGTTAAAAATTACATCAATACAGTCTAAACACCCAAACCCCCACCCTCCCCCATAAAAACATATTAAACTAACATCCATTAAAATCCAGCTAAATCATAAATAACATAGAATAAATGCTAAAAAGAATCAAACAGGATTTAACACTACAACTAGGCACCTTTCCCTCCTCAAACAATATATTATTACTTAGCTAGAGGGGACATTTGAAAAAAGACTAGTTGAAAAAGTTGCTTTAAGTATTAAAGCTGATATAGAGGAAAAGTCACCTTAGTAATTTTATACTGAAAGACATAGTAGAAGTAATATTTAAATTTAATAATAAATAAAAACATGGCTATTGAACAGTAGACAGCATCTCCAGAACAGTAGCAAAAATGGAAGGATTCATGCCCAGAAATATATACCAGTCTCTTTATTAGATGTGGTTTATTTATTATGGAAATTTTTTTGGCTTCGTTTATCTAAAACAATAAACCCTCTGACATGTTTGCTTAAGAAGAGAGTATCTGAGATTGCCAAAGTGAAGAAAGTGCCAGACAAAGACATTAGTGATCTATAAAGGCAAACAGTTGTGGACAAGATGTTCCAGCCTGGGATTGCTGTCTGTTGCCAAGGGGGACAATTATGGCTAAGAGTAGTAAATGGAGAGACCAGGTTGCGGACAAGAGGTCACCCTCAATTGTCATCTATGCCTTAGTTGCTGAAGAACAGATCCCTGCCAAAGAATTGCCATAGCACTGGAACTCTGAAAGTCGTTCAGGAAAATTACTGAACAAGGATCTGTTTTTGATAGATTAGCTGAGAGTTTTTCTTCTCCTTAGGGGCAGAGCTCTGCATGAAAATGCAGGCAGGTATTGTGTGTGTTGTGTGCTTTCAAGTCATTTCCGACTTATGGCAACCCTCGTGTGGCGTAGCGGTTTGAGGGTTGGACTACAACTCTGGAGACCAGGGTTCGATTCCCAGCTCAGCCGTGAAACTCAATGGGTGACCTTGGGCAAGTCACACCCTCTCAGCCTCAGGGAAGGCAATGGCAAACTTCCCCTGAACAAATCTTGCCAAGAAAACTCCATGGTAAGTTTACCTTAGGGTCACCATAAGCTGGAAATTACTTGCACACAACAGCAACAACAAGGCAAACCTATCATGGGATTTTCTTGGCAAGTTTTGTTCAGAGGAGGTTTGCTATTGCCTTCCTCTGAGGCTGAGAGAGTGTTGCTTGCCCAAGGTCACCCAGTGGGTTTCATTGATGAGCTGGGAATCAAATGCTGGTCTCCAAAGTCAAAGTCCAATACTCAAACCATTATGCCCTGCTGGCAGTTAGTGAAAGGAAAAGTAATTGCTGAACGCCTTGCACATTTCTGAGCAATGGATGTGTTAGTGGTGGTGGCTGTTATTGTTGTTATGATTAGATTTATGACAGCCATGAAATCCACTGAGTGACCTTGGGAAAGTCACACTTTCTCAGCCTCGGGGAAGGCAATTTATGATTCAGGGCAGCCAATGGCCAACATAAAAAACAATTTCTTAAAACCACAAAAAGTACTCATTCATTGCATCATGAAATACAAGGAAGAGGCTGTGTGGATTTACCACCACCCTCTACTATGGCATTACATTCATGATTTTAAAACCATTTGATTCTCTGTATAATAGGAGTAGTTGTTATGGAGCAGTAGTGGAACAGGAGAATGTGGGTCCACAGGAAATAATTTTTTTTTCCTGTATAAATTCAGAATCTAATTATGATCTTCAACAGTTCGTGTGCCTCAGTTTCCATCTGTATATGACACTTTGTTGAAGATTTTTTTAAAAAAACTGTTCCAACTTGCCTCTGCATCTGGTAATCCCATCTTCTCCATACCACTGCCATCAAGGCCTGTACCTGTACAACCACATCTAAAAAGCTATAAAACAGTGATAACTTTGTTCAGTCAACCGAAAGACACAAAATCCATACTGAGCTTGAAACATAGGGGTCGAAAAAGTGCAAGGATTCATGCTGTGAATCTGTATAACCAGAATGCAAATGAATAACTTGCATATTTATAATAATTTGCATCATATACCAATGAGATGTCGGATTAAGAGGGACTGGAATTTGGTAAGTTTTTGTATGCTTCCTCCTGCTGAGTGCTTGCAGTTTTGCCTCTGCTCCAGACGGTGTGCCTGAGTGACAATGGAAAGGGAACCCACAGAGAACCCCACTTTCCCCAATCTATGTCATGGAGAGGCAGCTATGATCAGGACTGCCCTCCTTTCTGCAACCCTGGGTCCACAGGCGGACAAATATGTTCCACTCTGAAGGAATGTCTTGAATAAAGAACTGCTACTTTTTAATCTGTTACCAGTCATGATTTTTGCAATGTCTTTTTCAACTGTGGAGCTGCCTCTGTTTCTGATTCTACTGTTTTAGGTCTGGAGCAGAAACACTGACAGCATTTCAGTGTTGTAAAAGTTTAAAAAGTGAATCAAAGCACCAAAAATGCAGCAAGGCTACCATCAGCTGGTGGGAGGGTGGCACAGCAATGCTCTGCCGGACTCTTTCTGAATTGTTCTCTTGGTCAGGTATATATCCCAGTAAATCTGTGGAAGGGATGCTAGAACAAATGCTTGGAAATGAGTCACTTTGGAATTGCAAGTAACTGAAAAATGACATTTACTTGTAGAATTCAGAGGTGATGCCATGTTACTCTGTAATATCAGTATGCAAAGGGATCTTGCAGCACCTTTGTGAATCATAGGGGGCATTCACACTCATTATTTTGTCCTGAGGAGATGCAGATTGCTGCGCCGATACATATCAAGTTTGTTGTTCCCATTACATTTTGGATTCGTGAATATCTTCAAGTTATTTTA